GTTGAGGACTTTTGCATCTATGTTCACCAGGGATATTGGCCTATCATTTTCTTTTCTTGTGGCATTCTTGTCTAGTGTTGGTATCAGGGTAATCTGGCTTTGTAAAGTGAGTCTGGAAGAGTTCCCTCCTCTTCTGTTTTTTTGGAAGAGGTTGAGACAATTTGTGTTCTTCTTTGACTCTTTGGTAGAATTCACCAGTGAAGCCATCTGGTTCTGAACTTTTGTTTGTTGAGAGGCTTTTGATTACTGATTTAATCTCCTTACTAATAATTGATCTGCTCAGGATTTTCTATTTTCATCATGATTCTGTCTTGGTAGGTTGTATATTCCTAGGAATTTTTCTATTTCCTCTAGGTCATCCAGTTTTTTAGTGTGTAATTGTTCATAGTAGTGTCTTAATGGTCCTTTGTATTTCTATGGTATCAGTTGTAACAGTTCCTCTTTCATTTCTAATTTTATTTGGGTCTTTCTCTTGGTGAGTCATGCTAAAGGTTTGTCAATTTTATCTTTTCAAAGAATCAATTCTTGGGTTTATTGACCTTCTCTATTGTCTTTTTAGTCTGTATTTCATTTATTTCTGCTTAATCTTTATTATTTCCTTCCTTCTACTACTAACTTTGAGCTTTGTTCTTTTTTCCCCCTAGCCCTTTGAGGTGTAGTTAGGTTGTTTATTTGAGACTTGTCTTGTTTCTTGAGGTAGGTGTGTATTGCTATGAATTTCCCTCTTAGGATGACATTTGCTGAATCCCATGAATTTTGCTATGTTATATTTACATTTTCATTTGTCTTGAGGTACTTTTTTACTTCTCTTTTGATTTCTTCCTTGGCCCATTTGTTGTTCAGTAGCAATGTTGTCTAATTTCCAGATGTTTTTCAATTTTTTAGTTTTCTTCATATAATTAATTTTCATGCCATTGTGCCCAGAAAAGATACTTGATATTATTTCAATCCTTGTAAATTTATTAAGATTTGTGTTGTGTCCTAACATATGATCCCAAGGAGGCTTAACAGAGAAAAGTATCCCATTGCCCAATCCCAGCACCACTGTGTTTTGGAAAATGTCCCATGTGTCCTTGAGAAGAATTTGTCTTCTGCTGCTTTTGGACGGAATGTTCTGCGACATCTGTTAGGTCCATTTGGTCTAATGTGTTGTTCAAAGCCACTGTTTCCGTATTGATTTCTTCTGGATGATCTATCCACTGATGTAAGTGGGGTTTTTAAAGCCCCCTATTATTACTGTACTACCAGTTCTCCTTTTAGGTCCTGCTCAAGTCCACATGACTGCCATTGTCCAAGTCATCTCAGAATCCCCAGTTCTGGCCAAGTCAGTCTGCTCTGTATTACCACCTTCTGCCTCCCTTCCCAGGCCTTCTCCTGCTTCCAGTGTCTGTGGCAAGATGTTCAGTGGCCCAACATGTGGTCTCCTGGGGTATAACACCACTGTTGGTGAGACAGGCCTGGGATAGTTTTTGTGGGCTCAGGTAGGCATTCTCACCTGTCTCTTGCTCGCGCTGTGTCGTGGATGGGCAGAGGACCAGTATGAGCCGTGCTGGGGTTGGGCAATGGGATACCTCTCTCTGTGAAGCCTGCTGAGGATTGCTTGCGTGATGCTGGCCACATCAGCACTCCCTTCCTGCTGAGACCGCCAGCCCCTGGGTATATAGCTAGACCGTCCTTGTTTGGTGGCCGTCATGCCAAAGCCGTGGTTCTCTATGTGAGTGTGTGGTTCCCCGTGGCTCTCTCTTTCCTTGGTTTCTTGGACTCCTTTTCCTCTGAACATGTTCTGTTGGGAATAACACATGACCTGGGGCTGGCAGTGCCCAGATGGAGGCCATGTTAAAAGAGCAGAAAGAAACTCAATTACAGTGCAGGAAACATTTGGGTGCTTGCATTTGTTGAGGGTCCAACTGGTTTCCCAGAAGCTGGGGTTAGTGTTTAAGAATCTTCTAGAGCTTCAGATCCAGAGGCCCTCAGAGGTTGATGGCATGACTTTGAAGAGGGGCTGACCTCATCCCGGGGCTGAGAGGGTTCCCCAGCTTTGAGATGTGTGACTGTAAAACATCACTCAGCTCTTCCAAGAGTCTGGGTGTTTGGAGCTGTAGGGGCCTTTGCAGGTTATTCTCTGCATTGATTCCTGGGTTTGACTGATCGTACGGACTGACTGGGACTTTGGTGGAGGAAGGGGAGTGGCATTTATTGGGCTCTTACATTGTGTGGAGGGAGTGAGGTCTAGGGTCTCCCCCACACGCGGCTTTCAGAGCACATGTCGGGGTGTACCTGGCCTGTCCCACCAGCAGACAAGCAGGGCCCCTGAGAGGCTTGCCCGAGGCCCAGCCTGCCCGAGACCTCTAAGAGGAAATGGGAGTCGTGAGACAGCAAACGTTTATGGAGTGACCAACAGTATCAGGCTGGTGGCCGCAGTGGAATCTACACCTTAGTCACCATCCAGGTGACCCTTTGTCCTGAAATACTTTTGTCCTTCAACTCAGTGCTTCGTGTTTTAGAGCTCAGCATGTCAGGATTGCCGGCTCAGGGCCCACGACCAATGCAGCCAGAAGGGAGAGCACAGACATGGCTTTCTCCTGGACGGAACCATTTCAGTAGAGGTAGAATTTGCACTTACTTAGCTTCTAGCAGTTCACGTTGAAATGGTTATAACCTGCCTATAACAGGAAGAAATGGGTAACTTGTGCATGGTTTAGTTTTAATGACCTTACTAACGAGGTGCCACAGCGCGTAGCGGTCAGTGGAACACTGCATTTATTTAATTGTTGTCTTTCTTCCACTTTGATTCTGCTCCCTTGCGGGTGGGCCCTCTGTCTTTCTCACTCTTATACCCCAGACTTGAGCAATGCCTGGCATGTAGTAGATGCACAGCACACATCTGGGGTGGGGTTCTGACCTTGAGCAGCCTGGTTAACCCCCAAAACCCCCAGTTTTCTCATTTTCTCACAGTTAAGTGGGGCTGGTGGTAGTAATTCTTCCTGTGTTACTGCCTTTGTGGGCTGTGAGCAGAGCCAAATGAAATCATGCACGTGCCATCCCTTAATTTAGTCACGAATGGCACGAAAGGACCTGAGCTTTTCCTGCCTCACCCAGCATCACAAATCCCCAGGTGCTCCATATGGTGAATAAATGAAACATAAGCTGCGTTAAAGGACAGTGGTTTAAACTGGGCTCTTTAAGTAAGACCAAGGGGCTCCTGATACTTTTATAATTTTTCAAGTGCACTGTTGGTCTCTTTTTATAAGCCAGGCAGTGATTCCTTTCGTGACTGACCCTCTGTTATTTTCGCTGCCCGAGGAGTTGAGCTCTGGCCCCTGGCATCTGCTTGGCCCACTTGAGATGTGTGGGCTGGGAGACCCCCCTCCCCGCCCCTGCTCTGTCTCTGTGTGCAGACCGGGCACCTCCCGTCAGATCCCGGCCATTCTGTTCTCGGGCTGGCGAGGGCCCTCCTTTCTGAGTCCCCGGATGCCCTTGCCCTGCTCCTGCAGAGGCGGCACCTCCTGGGGAGCCCAGTGCTGCTGCTGGCCTGGCCTCGGGCTCTGTGTTAGTGTCAGTTCGCTCAGCTCGTCATAACAAAGCACCACAGACTGGATGGCTCACACCACAGGAATTTATTGTCTCACAGTTCTGGAGGCTGGACGTCAAAAGTCAGGGTGCCAGCCGGGTGGGTTTCCCGCCTTGGCTTGCTGAGGGTGTCTTACCTCTGCATGTGCATCCCTGGTCAATCTCTCTGTACCCAAATTTTTCTTTTTGTAAGGATACCAGACAGGTTGGATTAGGGCTCACCCCTCTGACCCAGTTTTACCTCACCTCTTTAAAGGCCCTGTCTCCAAATACAGTCACATTTTGAGGTAGTTGGGGTGAGGACTTCAACATATGAATTTAGGGGGGACATCGTTTAGCACAGACATGAGAACCGTTAAGCCAAGGTCAGCCAGCACTGGGACTGCCTCTGCCTGGGGTTTCTCATAGCTGCTGCCACAGGCCCCTGGTCTTGACTCTGCATGACCCTTCGTTTGGACTGTGTCTGTGGGTGGGGTGTGGGAGGGGGCCCAGGGGCCCGGGAGGGTGCGACCTCGGGGGGTGCTCACAACCGCTTGCTGCCCTGAAGCTCCTTCCTCACACCCTGCCCGGTGGGAGGGCCACCTCCGAGCAGGCTCTCTCTGTTGGGATTACGTACTCCTGCTTAAGCAAACCCAGGAATTGGTGTTAATTAAGCAACACCTGTGAGCAGAATGTGTTCCCATTGGCATTTGGGGATCGCTAATAGTTATCATAAATAATAGCTAATAGTGCTTTGTAGTGCCAGGCGCTGTCTAAAGTCATTTATCCCCACGGCAACACCATGAGGTCAGTTACTGCTTTTAATCCTGTTTTATAACTGAGGAGATAAGGCACAGACAGGTGGCCTGTCCAGGTGGGTCACCCAGCTGGCTTGTGCCTGGGCCTGGTTTTGAAACCAGGCTGTGTGTTCAGTGACCAAGGTGGGGAGAAGCTCTATTCCTGCCCCTGGCCCTGCACTCCAGGAGCTTCCTCGGTCCCTCCGTCAGGGCAGTGGGCACCTCCAAGAGCGAAGTCGGCCTCTGCACTTCAGGCGTCCTCGGCCCGGCTGCCACTTCCCGCTGCTGCTGTTTGGTTTGTGTTGTCTTGGGAACGGATGACAAGTGTTCCTTGTTAGCACTGGACCTCGTGAAGAGGATGGGACCAGGAGAGGCTGCGGGGGCTGGGTGGGCCTTGCACGGCCAGGGTCGGGCTGGAGACCAGAGCATCAGACCCGGGCCGCCCTATGACCCCGTCCGCCCTGCCCCGTGGCCGCTCCCTGGGCCCAGGCGAGCTGGGAGGCTTCGCCGAGGCCAGAGTCTGTCGCTGAGTTTCTACTGAGCCCAAAGAAGGTGCCATAGGCCGCACCCCAGAGTGGACAGGCCACTCCCTTCCTTCCTTCTTCATGCACTGTGGGCTTGTTTTCCAGTCTGCTTGCCCGGGAAGCTGCTGGCAGTGGAGATAGAAATAAAATTTGTGGTCAGCAGAGTCCTATCACCTAGAAACAACCCAGTCCCCAGCAGCCCGGTCCTTTGTGGCCTTCCTTTTCCTTCCTGAAGGCAACTCTTCCTCGGATTGCAAGTCACCGCGCCCCTGCCCGCAGCCACATGTGCCCTGTCGCCACCACTCTCTGCTGCGCTGCTCGCGCTCCAGCTGCCACCCGTCCGCAGTGAGTGCCCGGCCTGCTCCCCTGCATTTCAGCAGGGGCTACACCCCTGCCAGCCCCTTGCTTTTCAGGGGAAGGTTGTTTAGACAAGAATGGGCCTGGGCGGCCTATTCCCGGGAAGGTGACCTGGACATCGGTGTGAGGACGACGGGGATAAGGGTGTCCTTGGGCTGATCTCACCTTGGCCCCCGATCCAGGCGCCTGCTTTGGGCAGCGAAGCGTGTTGGGAAGTTTCCATCACTCTGGTGGGTCTCGGGGGTCTTGGGCCTAGGGGGTGGTGTTGGCAGCGTCTCCAGGGGAAGCTGAATGTAGGGGTCTCTGATGAGCTGGGGTTTCTCTTTGTGCTCTTGGTTCAGCCTTTTCCTGTTAACTGGCCGCTCTTGGCCAACGTCTGGCTTCTCCTGTCACCGCGAGGTATGGTTCGTTCTGCCGTTTTCAGGAGGCAGCGCTTGGCAGAAGGGGCTTTGCCCTGGGCAGCATGGGGGTGCGCCCAGCTCTGCCATTATTAGCACCACCGTGGCACTGGTGCCATCCCTCTGATGCTCGATTTTCCTGCCTGTGAAATGGGGACAGTGGTACAGGTGATGTGTAGTGAGTGTTTTGGGTCCAAGGGACAGTCCCCATCTTTTAAACTGCTTTGTCTAGTGCAATTCTTGTAACTTTACTTTACGGTAGAGAGGCTAACTAACAGGCCCAAGGTCACACAGCAGTTGGGAATTGGAGTCAGGGGTTACTTGGAGCCTCTTAACCTGGGCTTACAGGCCTTCTCCCTTGGGGACAGAGTGAGATGGTGGCTGTCCAAATGCTCCTGTGCCTCTGACACCAAGGAAGCTCCCGGCCAGTGCCCCTTGCCCTCTCTGGTGGAGAAGAGAGCACACAGTTCCCTGGGCTCTCCTGGGGCACCCTTAGCAGGAGGGACACTGGTGCTCAGTCTGGAGGTGACCAGGACAGAAGCCCTTCCCTTGAGAGCACGGCCTGATTTCTGGCTTGATCATTCATGGTCTTCCAAGCATGCAACTGTGGGTGTGTGGGGACAGTTCTGGAGGAGAAAGTAGCAGTTAAAGGAGGGGTGTCAGGAGATCGACAGCAGGGAGGCTCTCAGCTCAGTCTCTGAGGCAGCTCCTCAGAGACAACAGATCTTTCCACAGGGGCAGAGAGTAACAGACTTGGCACAGCTGGGAGGCGGGTAGTGCAGAAGGGGGGCAGGGCGGTACACTGGGTGTGTGTGGGTGCAGTATGGGAGGGGGCAGTGCAGAAGGGGTGCAGTGCGGGGAGGGGAGCAGTGTGGGGACTTAAGAAATGAATTTCAAAGCTGTGCTGAATGTTTTCTCTCTCTCTTAAAACCCAACTGCTGATGTGAGGAGGGGGCTGGGAAACTTTCTATTAGGAAAGGGACCCCAGGCTCTGAAAGTTGGGGACCTGAGCTGAGAGCACCCCTCCATGGTGGCCCCGGGGCTGCCTACCCCGCTTCCTTGGCCTGGTGGTCAGCCCCCTGCTCTGTCTTTGCATCCAGAGGTCTTTTCTGGAAAAGCTCTTGTCACCAATGTCGGTCACCTCCTCCAGGCTCGAGGTCTGCCGTGCACGACTTCGTGGCTGGGCTCAGGTTAGCCGCTGTATGTTTATGCTGGGTGCGCCAACTAGTGGGGTAGGCAGGGAACAAGTCCTGGCTCCATCATGGCCTTGGGTGGGTTTCTTGACTTCCTTGGTAAATGGCGATAATGAGGTAGCCACTCCTGCATTGGCGACCCCTGCGCCGTCCCCGTGTGGACCGGAGCCGCCGCCTCTGTCTCCTGGGCTCTGGCCCTCCTCCCTCCTCCCTACCTATTTCCCAGTGTCCAGGACCAGGAGAACTTAATAAGGTTTCTGCAATGTCCACAACCTCCCCATGTTGCTGTTATTTTACGGATAGGACCTGGTGGTCAGGGGCACCAGACTTGGTCCCACTGTTAGTGTCAACCCCCAGCTACCTCAACTGGGCAAGTCCCTGCCCTCTGCGCCTCTGAGCCCTGGTGTGCAGGGGCACCTGCCCCTCGCTGTCCGGGGTCTGAGTGAGGTCGTGGAGGAGGATGTGGGGTGGGCGGGCCCTTGACAGAGGCGGACTTCCTCCGTCTGCAGAGCCGGGCCCAGGAGTCTCCGTGCCCACCCTGCAGGCTATGTCTCGCTGCCCATTCGGGTCGGGGGATTTCAAGCTGGGCGCACAATGGGACAAGAGAAGGGAACTTGAGTGAAAGCTCAAGGTCTGCTGATCGGAACTTCGGAGGTCCCCTCTCTTCCCAGCCTGTCAGCCCTCCTCCTGCTGCAGAGGATCCAGAGCACGCTTCCCTTCCCTCTGGGACCCTGGGAATGGAGACGGGCACCCTCTCCTTCCACTCTGTGGGCCAGACTCCTCCAAGACTCGGTTCCAAGTTTACCTCCTGCAGGAAGCCTTCCTGGACTGCTACCCTCTCCCTCGTGGGTCCCCAGCATTCTCATGGACCTTGGGCTGGGCCTGTGTCTGAGTCCTTGCCCTGCCCAACCCCAGCCCTGGCTGGTGACCAGCCCACACACCTGCGCACGGCAGGCTCTCAAAACTATTTGCCGAGCATTCTGAGGGCCAGCTCTGGTCAGTCCTGTGGTAGGCATTTGTACCTGCTTCCCATTTCATCTGTACCCCTGAAGGAGGCGTGGTTATTGTAACTCCAGGGAGAGGAAATCCCTGGGGAAAATACCTCTAAAAACCGAAATCAGTCAAAGGGAGAGATAAAGTTTAAAACCTGTTTATTGCTTACAAACTGTGGTCCAGGGCCGTCTCTCTGCTCCGGAAGAAGCCAGCAAGCCAGCCTCCTCCCCTTAACCCCTCAGGTTCAGACACGCCCTGCCCTCGGTTGCCCAGGTAATTACCCATTGACATGGAGATGAACTTCTCTCCACCCCTGAGGATATGCAAATAAATGCACTAAAGCCAGGTGGGATATTCTGTAGATATTACAATTTTACCCACAGTTATGGTGTGCATTTTACTCAGCTATTGAGCGGACCTCCATTACGGACCATCTAGGTACCTGACCTTGTGCAGGGCTTCAAGGGGACAATGTGTTCAAGTTGGAGACAGACAACGGAGTATTAAAACAAAATAGTAACTGAATGTGAGGACGTGGGGGCAGAAAGGAAGCCAGGCGCTGTGATGGTCACCAGAGGACCTTGGGGTGGCTGGCTGGGAGGTGTTTTCTGGAAGCATGAGAAGGGGCCAGTCACCTGGAGCTGGGGTGGACCTTCTGTGGATGGACGGAAGGCAGCCTGCGCAGGTCGGAACAAGCCCTGCCGTCTTGCAGCCCCGCGACCCGTTCTGTCACCCCTGCGTCTGGCTGGGTGAGCAAGGCTGGCCAAAGAAGGTCCCTTGGCGCTGTGACCCTGGGCTCGTGCCTGCGCGGCGTGCAGGCAGCAGCTTTCCCAGCACAGGATGTGGGCTGCCCCTGCCTGGGCCCTGGCCATCTCAGAGCTGCCCCAGAGCATGCAGCCTGCCAGATCCCAGGGGATCCTTGGGGAGGCCAGGGCTTCAGGCACGTGGCTGAGCCTCTCCTAGCCCCAGGGAAGCAGGGGATGCTGGGTGGGGGACGTCAGGCATTACTCACCACCTCCCCCAACTCCTCCCAGCCACCCGGCCAGGCTGTTGGGGTGTGTAGGCAGTGAGCTCCCCCCCAGCGTCTGGCTTACAGCGTGATCACGGAGGTGGGCAGGCTTGGCTGTGAGCTCGCCCCCTGCCCTCAGGCCCCACTCAGAACAAGCACCTCTTATCCAGCCAGGAGGAGAAAGCAAAGGGACCAGGAGTCCAAGCTGCCCCTCTGTGCCAAGGAGGCCCGCCCTGCTGGCGGTGGGCACCGGGTGGCAGGAGCTTTTCTCCTGAGGGGTCAGGAGGCAGGGGCCCGGCCCCACCTTGGCCCTGTAAGCTGCAGGGAGCCCGGACCCTGCCCCACCTTGGCCCTGTAAGCTGCAGGGAGCCCATGCTCAGCGCTCAGTTAGCACTTCCGGTTTGTAGGATCCAGGACAGCCGGGATGGGCTTAAGCCACATGATGGCTATGAGAGGCGGATGCATAGTCCTGGCCCTCATGGGCTTCTGACCCAAACCAGGGTCCTGTCCTGCCTGCCGATGCCACACCGTTGTGTGGAAATGTCCACCCTCTGGGCCTCCCACCCAGGTCAGCTCACAGGTTGCACCGGCTGACCCTCTGTGGGGCGCCGCTGGGCACTGCAGTGTTGAAGGGCAGCCTACCCCTCCACACAGGTGCTGGGAGCCCCTCCTGCCTCCAGGTATGACAACACAGGCTGCCTCCAGACACTGCCCCATGTCCCCTGGAGGGCAGGATTGTCCCAGTCTGAGAATCACTGAGCTAGGAGGCTGCCTCCATGGATCTTCAGGACCCTCCCACCCCAGGAGTGGGAGAGCAGAAGGGAAGACCCCCAGCGACCACTGGTCTTTTCATGTTCTCTCTGGTTTCGCCTTTTTCAGAAAGTCGTGCGGGTGGAATCCGACTGGATGTAGTCTTTTCAGACTGGCTTCTTTCACTTAGAATATGCATTGAAGGCCCCTCCGTGTCTATTTGTGGCTTGACAGCTCGTTTCTTTTTAGCACTGAATAATCTCCCATTGTCTGGGTGGACCACAGTTTATCCATTCACTTCCTGGCGGATCTGCTGCCCCCTTGGCACACGGGCAGCTCAGACTCCTTGAATTGGGAGGGGGAGGTTGGCAGGGCTGGGAGCCCAGGCCGATGCCCTGAGGGAGTGGGTCCACTCTGAGGCTCTGGAGGGTGAAGCTGGGAGAGGGTGCCGCAAGGGGCAGGTCGGGGCTGCCGGAAGCTGGGGGCCCCCATGCCTGCCTGAATCCAGGAGGCTGAGGAGGGGGCCGAGGCTGCTGTGGATTCCCGATGCGATGAACCTCATGGGAAGCTGAGTTAGGTGGACGGCTATCCTCACAGGCGCTGCCGTCTTCAGAGAGGAGGGTGGGCCATGGTCCCTAAGGCCCC